ATCGAAAATTTGATTTGTTGAAAAAACGTTTTAAAAATCCAATTCACCTCACCCGCTTGGATATTTCCCCATGATTATTGAGCTACATGTCTAACACCTGATTTATTGCTAGTTGAGAATAAACTAGATGTTATGAAAGATATCAAATCTCTACATGTTAGACATATATGATGAGGCCAGTAAGTGAGGCTTATAGTACCATTAAGTTATTTCCAATGAGTGGGGCAGAAATACCACCATTAATAGCTGAAGTGGGGTGGACATATCATTATGTAAATTGTTAATTAGTGGGGTAGATATACCACCATCATTTAGCCTACATGGGGCAAATGTACCACTATATTATTTGCTATTATGTGGGGTGAACATACCACTACTTATATGTTGATGTTGTAGATAGATTTATGACATGATTGAGTAATTGTTATTCAATGTCATGGTTAGATATTACTCCTTTTATGTAAGTATGAGAATTATGAGTTTATGTAGTCATAGAGACAAGAAATAGGTTTTTCCTTGAGTATGAATGATGAATAATGATGATGTAATGAGATAGAAGTGCTCTAGGGTGGATATAAGTTGGAAAGTGCCTAAAATTTGAGTTTTTATGAATGATGTATTGATACTTGAAGAATAAGTATTGATACTTAAAAGACAAAATGCACCTAAAAGCATTCTGTGCAGGAAGTATCAATAGTTTCCTAAAAAGTATTGATACATACAATCCAAAGAGCATTCTAGAGTAAAAGTATCAACATCTCATGAGGAAGTATTAATACCTTAAGTACAGAATAGTAATTGCACTCTTTTTTCACAATGTTTTCAATGGTTTTTAGCCTTTATTTATCTTTAAATGTTTATGCAACTCTATATTTGACTAATCTTTCATGAAAAGGCATTGAACAACATTATTTCCAAAGGTTTGAAGGAAACATAAGAAATTCATGAAATGCCATGATTATGCAAATGATGATTTATGCAAAAGCTCTTCTTCTTTAACTTGTCTCCTTCCCGTATTCACTCATGGAGTCTTTGTGAGTCACCTATCAATTTTCCCATATTTTTGCAAATCGGCAATTAGCTTGCTACCTTTGTGGCGGAAGCAAGCTCTCAGCCTTTCTTTGCTAAGTGTTCTAACAGCCCACTTGAATGAGTCAGTCTTGTGTACCATATTTTACATGTTTTGACAAATGAATTTTTATGTGATAGCTCAAGAGCCTACATGAGCACCTAAGGTGTGTATGTATGTCCATATGATATGAACCATGATTTTAAATGTTTTACAAATGACAATGTCTAAAATAATGTGTTTTTACACTTATGTTGTAAGTTTCATATTGTGTGATGGCATTAACATTTGATTATGATATGGTTTATATGCTTATTTGAATGAATTGTATGATGAGTAAAATGTAGAATTAATGATTAAGATGCTTGCTTGGGTCTAATGGGTCATGTTCGTATAGGTCTTTGCACCAGTCATATCTCTGAAAATGGGATGTGACTAGCATGCACCTTTTTATAAACGTTCACAACTATTTTTAAGACAAAAGAAGTAGTTGGTCTAATATAAGTTGGCCAGCCTTGGTTTTCATCATTCCCTCTTTATAATATTTAAGAAACTCGTTCAAAACTTCTTCCGTATTTTTTTTCTACGAGGCTGTCAATGTTTCTTAACACTCTTTTAGCCCATTCGTTGGTAAAGATGGTAATGGGTACCCCATTACAAAGTACCCGCAAGTACCGGACCTCGATTATATATGGTTAGGGTACCTTATAATTAGGTTCGGGTATGGTTCGAGTACCACCCCTTAGGTACCCGATACCCGAACTCGATTATGTTTTTTTAATTTTATATAATAAATACAAATCTATATTGTTAATTAAATTAAATCATGAAACTATGATTATTAATTAATTTGTAATATCTTTTAGGATAAAGTACCCTTAACCTCCTAAATTTTGATTGCAATTATACAGAGATCCATTAGTTTTAAAATGAACAGTTCGCACCAAAAAAATATTTTTCATTGAACACGTAAATCTAGCCGTTAGTCAATTGTTAACATTTCTGTCAACTTGTTGATGTGACAAAGGGTAAAAAGAAAATTTTACCCTTGATTAATTTTTAAAATTACTATTATGTAATTTTATTATTTTTTATTTTTTTATTAATTAAAAAAAACCTCTTACGAGGGAGCACCAGTGATCCCCTTTCTTGGAGAGCACCAATCAGTGCTCCTTTCTTTTTTTTTTTAATTTTTTTAAAATATAATAATAATTTTTTAATTAATAAAAAAAGAAAAGACATTTTAGTCTTTTCTTAATCTCTGTTAACAATTTCTATATTTTTAAGGTGGAGTATCCATTTCAAAAACTAATGAGCCTGTTTAAAATTTTGACTAAAACTTAGGGGGTTGGGGTATTTTACACTATCTTTTAATACATATACTTTATATAGTGTTAATTTATAAAAAATATAATTACTATTATATATATATATATATATACTTTTAGTATATAAACTTTAAATATATAAACATATTCACTTTCTATTTTATATTAACATTACTAAAATTATAACTTATAAAATTATTAATTGTAATTTATATATATATATATACCTTTGTTTATATAAACTTATAAAATATATACTTAAAAAGAAGTTGTGAAATTAGAACAGTTTTGGAACCTAGTTATTTTTTTTAATTTCACATAATTAATAACAAGCCTATATAGTTAATTAACTTGTAATGTTGTTTAAGTTCTTGTTTGGATATTTGTTTTTAGTAATTTAAATTGATATTTGAGATATTTATTTTTGATTAGTTAAATTTAAATTTTATTGTTTGTGTGCTTTTATAAATTTAATTATTAGTGAATTATATGAAATATAGATAGAAATATTATTGTATATAAATACAAATACGGATTCGGGTTCAGGTAATTAGTTATCCATGAAAAGCATTTTAATAATTTTTTTACATAATCAGGTTTTGAAACGAGTTCGAGTAACTATCAAGTAGTGGGTATGTATTAGGATTCGAGTTAGGGAAGTAAATTTAAAAAATATTTGGGTAATTATAGAGTTCGAGTATGCCATTTACTAATCAGGTTTGGATTCGGGTACCTCAAAATTAGTAGGTACCTTACCCGTTGACATCCATATTCGTTAGACATAAGATGAATTAACAAGAACAAAATGAAAAATTCTACTCAAAACATGTTGCATGTAAAATCTAAAAATGCTACATAAAAAATTGAAAAAAGTCCATATTCATTTGGAAGTAAGTATAATCAATCATCCATAAATGTTTGAAGCTAAGACAATTAGCAATCTTAGCAATGCTAATGAAAAAGGAAAGAACAGAGATAAAATGAGATGTCACTGTATTTTATACATTTTCAACTACTTTTTCATGACTAAATTAACCTACATTTCAAGACAAAGAAACAGATGGTTTTCAAACTAGACCCATTGTCTCTTTAGAATACTGAAAAAACTTTTACTTTTCGAGGTCATGTACCTTCAATACACTCATATGCAAGGTAATGTTTACAATCCTTGTGAATCAGATAGTTGGAGGAAAAGAGCAAGTGCCTCAACCGTTCTTTTCAAACCCTAGTAGTTCATTTTCAAGCATTCTTCTGCCACCTTATAAGTTTGTGTCGTAATAATCTTATTCGTGACTTGCAACCCATTTGTGTACATACAGAAAGAAATTTCATTTAGTAATTCCTTTGAGTAAGCAAATCGTTAAAAGTTTCGAATAAAAAGTTTCATTGAATTAGAGTTTTGTTTTCGTTTCAAAAAGAGAAAAAAAAAAAACAGAGAAAATTTTGGGGTATTTATTGGTATCTTATACCAATAAGGTAGTAACTTAATCTAATTTGGATGAAAAACATTCCCATGAATTTGGAATATAAACTCTAATTGCTTGATCTTTCATAAGTCTTCAACAAGATTAGAACTTCAATTTACAATAATATCATTTGATTTTTCTTGAATGTATGACCAATAATGCTTACATCAATTCACCCCCCACCTTTGATTTTCATTACATTAAAATTATTACACTAACATTCTCCTCCTCTTCTTTCATTAAGAGAAAGTTTAGCAAAATTGTGCAATTTTTATGTGTTTTTCTATAAAAAATTTATAAATATTTAATTTTAAATCTTTGAAAGTTTTAAATTTATTTTTATAATGACGTAACATCATTTGATAGTTTGACAATGTATAAAAATTATACTCTTTCAATATATCAGATATAATCCTTTTCTATCCTACAAACTTGAATTCATTTTAGGTTGCCAAAGTCCACATGATCCAAATCTAAATTGGACTATGATTTAAATCCATGTAAAAATAGGTCACACAAAAAAGGCCCAAAGAAAAGGATAGGTAGGCCTAAATGAGAATGAGAATCTAATTGGTTCCGAGTAAGTATACTTGCTTTGTTAGTGTTCAGCTTAATTTACATAGTTCATTAATTCATGAATAGAGACAAGGACATCATACTTAAGATCTATAAACAAAACCCATTACGGAGGGGAACATGTAACCATTTCTATGTTTAATTGTTTACTTAAAAAATCACTTTTCTTTATTTTTTTTTCTTTTTTGGGCACATTTGATTAGGTAGAAGGAAGAGGGAGGGTTGAAACTTAAAACCTTTTAAAAGTAAAGGAATAATAATGACTATAAAAAATTAGCACGGGTATTTGATGATGCATATGTCTGAAACATGAGCATGCATTTGTTAGTTGACTTAAGGTATATGGACAAAGTGTTCGGATTTTACAAGGTTTTCTCTGTTTCCTCGAAACAAAGGCGGCGGTGATATCAATGATGTCTGAATGTGATGATTTCTATGACCTCTATCAAGTGATATATAACCAGTGACCATGAAGCCTCTCACTCTCTGGTAATCTTGTAAAACTTGTTATCCTTGTCTAGAATTGCTTTGCTTGAAAAGATGGCTATCACAATGAAAACAATGGCATATGCAGTTGCGGTATTTGGGATGAAATCCTTCATTTATGGAATAGTAGCTGAAAACAAAAAGGTTCCTTCGTTAAACTCATAACTAAATTACTTTTATTTCCTCTTCTTTCTGATTGGTAAACATGGCTGGCTAGGCAAAGATGCCAACCAAACTGAATATCGTTTTTGTTTCCTTTCATTTCTGTGTTCTTTTTTTATTATTATTTTACAGCCTCCATCTGGAAATCCACAAATTTCGACAGGAGGTGATCACATTATTTGCAAGTATCCATCCGACCCAACTGTTGTTCTAGGCTTCTTATCTGTTACATCACTTGCTGTATCAGTGCTGGTTGGACACTTTTCTGTTTTTTATCCTTACAATGGAAAATCTGTTCCCCGTTATGTTTTCTTCCGAAGCATGACATTCTTCGTGTTCTTCCTAGTCACTTTGTGAGTATATAATCATATACACATTCTTTTCTATTCTGAGCATTGATTTGTTGTTGAATTAAGCCTCTTCCATCAATTATTTAAAGCTGTTGTTTGTACCGGGAACCAGGGCACTCTCCATGTTGGCTGCAGGGATGTTGTTTTGGGTGACGATCACTGAGCTCCTTCATTTAGCTAACAATGTTCATCAAGACATGAGCACAACATGCCCCACTGCCAAGAGCGGTCTCTTTGGTGGTGCTGCGTTCCTAGCCCTGAGTGCTTCTCTCTTCTGGTTGATCTGCCTCATGCTAGCTGATGATGTCAGAACAGAGTACTTTGAGGAACAAAAGGACAGGCTAGCTGAGGCTTTCACAACAGACTATGACGCCAAGCAGCAAGGCGAGGTTTGAGAGTGTTCCCAGCAAAGGAAAACAATGGCCTACTCTGTTGTTGTGCTTTCGCTTCTCTTTCTAGTAAATATATGAAAGGAATGTATAGGAAACTCTTGGATAACCCTTCCTTGCTTAACGTGGTTATTCACAGATAGCTGTCTCAGTTGATGAAATAATTAAATCTTGCACAAATTGGATTTACGCACATGATGCAAGATTACAGGTTAAGGCCTTCAAATTTCTACAATATTAGAAGCAACTGAGTATCTAATTTTTGTTTACCGAAACAGTAAGCACCAACTTGGTAATCAAATGCAACAATTGCGTACAGCTAAACAATACAACAATTACGCAAATGCATCCTAACTGGAATTTTCCACTGATATTCCAACAATTGGCACAGTTAAACAATGCCACAATCGCACATAGCCAAGCAATCAAGCCACTCATGGCAAGGATGCATTATGCCTTGATGAAAAAAACAATGTTTTACTTACAAAAATATTTTATTGATAAAATTTACCGACGGATTTGTCTATTAACTTTTACCGACAGAATATAATGACAAAGAGGATTTTGTCGGTATTCCGTTGGCAAGGTTATAGCGCAAAATAAAAGGAGTGCAAAGTTTATTGACCACAAAATTCTGTTGGTAAAATAGTTATTGATGAAATTTACCAACCAATGTTGTCGACAAAGCACCAGTTAGCTAAGATCTTCAATTGCGGATGAAATTACCAATGGAATTTTCGTTTTATTGTATATGCACCGGCGGTATTTTCGTTTGTATTGTTATTTTAAATTATTGACAGAAATTTCCATCAAGAAATCCGTTGCGTAATTTAAATATTAAATTTTTTTGGGCCCCTGCCCCCCCCCCCACCTTCCCCTCCCCTGCCTTCCATTTTCCCTTTCTCTTTTCTCTTAATTTCACTCCTCTTTCACTCTTTTCTCTCTCTACCCCTTCATATTTGAGTCATCCTTGCTCAGTTGTCCTTGACCAACCACTATCCCGTTGATAATTCTATTTTATAAAATTATTTTTTATCTCAAATTGTTCTTAAAAGTTAGTTGAGTTCTTGAGTTTAGGTTTTTTAGTTATTTTTCTAATTAGTTTATTTTTATTAAATTAAATTAATTTTATGTTTATTTACCCTAGTTTAGTTCTTATTTATTAGCTTTTATGTTTTTGTAAGACTATAAAGGAATAAGGCTTAATTTGGTGAAAAAAGATGTTTAAGGAGTCTATGCCTTGTTCATACATGCTATGGTATTTTAGGCCTGACTCAGACTCTAGATGTCCAAATGATGTGATTTTTGAATCATTGGAATGCTAAGAGATAAAGCTACAACTTTCATGAAGGTGACCTTGCCCATTTCTACTTCAATTTTGGAGAAAATCTCATTGGATATTGACAGAGTGCAGTAGTCAACAAAAAGAAGACATTAAAACAAGGGTTGCAGCTTAGATGAGGTGTGATGCGGTGTCGAAGAGGAGATTTTGAAGATATTGCTGTCGACAATGAAGTTATGCGGGCTAACTTAAGTCTATTGGGTGCTACACTTATTCTAAGCCCATATTAAGAGTTTTTAGGCCAAAGTAGTTTAGTTTAGGAAAAATTACGTTAAATTTAGGTTATAAATAGATTGCTTGAGGAGACATTAGCCTTATAGAAAAAAAATCCAAAAAAAGATTCAAGAAGTTAGAACTTGAAGCTAAAAGTTGAAGATCAAGGTTGCTAATATTTGTTTATTTTCTTCCTTAGCTTTTATTATTCTTGTTACTCTTGGTGGCTAAACTTCATATGTTTTTAATTATTTTTGCAATTATGAGTAGCGAAATTTCTTTTTCTAATATTGCAATTGAACTCACGTGTAGTCTAAATTTTTAATCTCTTTTTTGCTTATTTTGAATGGGATTGAATTGTTTATTCCAATTTGTTCTTAATGCTTTTAATTGACTGACCACCAATTAACTTGATCTAAAAACTTAAACATAACTTGGGAAGAGGAGTTTAGTGTAGGCTAAAATTGGAAAAGAATATGATCATAGTTATTTGCTTGAATGAATAAATTGATTTGTATATAGAATAGAAATATGCCTATATTTCGTATATAGCTAGTATCAAAACCTGAACTTAATGTGTCTATTTTAATTTCAATTTGCAACCACTTTGCAATTTCTTGGAAAAAGATGTGTCATTTAAACTTGATGATGCTTGCTTGAAGGCATTTGATGAATTGAAGAAAAAATTGATTACTGCACCTATCATCATAAGTCCAAATTGAAATCTCCTTTTTGAGCACATGTGTGACGCAAATGACTATGCGGTGGGCACTATGTTGAGTCAAAGGAAAGACAAAATTTTCATTCAATTTATTATTCCAATAGTGCATTGAATGAGGCACAAAAGAACTACACAACAACAAAAAAGGAGCCTTTAGTTGTAGTATTTGCTTTTGACAAATTTCACTCCTATCTAATTAGAACAAAGCTAATAATTTATACAAACCATTCAATAATCAAGCATTTGATTTTTAAGATGGATTCTTCTATTTCAAAAGTTCAATCTAAAGATTCATGACAAAAAAAGAATAGAGAATCAAGTAACAGACCACCTATCCAAATTGGAGAATGAAACTTCAAGTGCACACTTAACCTCAATCAAGGAAACTTTTTCAAATGAACAACTTCTCCAAATTAGGAAAAAAATCCTTTTTTTGGTATGTTGATTTAGTGAATTACTTGATAAGTAATATTCTTCCTCCTGATTTAAATTTTCATCAAAAAAAGAAATTTTTGCATGATGTTAAAAAATATGCTTGGGATGAGCCTTTCTTGTTTAAGCATTACAAAGATCATATTTTTAAAAGGTGTGTTCCAAAGGAAGAATTCCAAAGTATACTTCAGCATTGCCATTCTTCAGATTATGGAAGGCACTTTGGAGGAAACAAAACTATTGTTAAAGTTCTTCAATTAGGTTTGTATTGGCCTACATTTTTTAAATATGCTAACTATTTTGTTTAACAATGTGACAGGTGTCAAAGAGTTAGTAATATATCAAAGACACAAGAGATGACTTTTATCACCATCTTTGAAATAAATATCTTTAATGTATGGGGTATTGACTTCATGGGTCCTTTCATACCTTCATACAACAACAAATACATCCCAATTATTGTGGATTATGTTTCCAAATGGGTTGAAGCAGCAGCTCTTCCAACTAATGATTCCAAGGTGGTGGCGAATTTATGAAAAAAAATATCTTCACTTGATTTGGCACTCTAAAGGAAATTATAAGTGATCAGGGTAATCACTTTTGTAACAAGTATTTCAATGCATTTCTTGCAAAATATGGAGTTAAACACAAAGTTGCAATGGCATACCATCCTTCAACAAATGGCCAATCGAAGGAATCCAATAAATAAATTAAGAGGATCTTGAAGAAAACAATTGTGCCCTTCAAGGACAGATTAGGAACGAATATTAGATGATGCATTTTGGGCATATTGCACAACCTACAATACTCTTATTGGCATGTCTCCATACAAGTTAGTCTTTGGTAAAGCTTGCTACCTCCCGGTAGAGCTCGAGCACAATGCTTATTGGGCCATTAAGAAGTCAAACTTGATGAAAAGGCTTTTGCAATTGAACCAACTTGATGAATTTCGACTTGAAGTGTATGAGAATGCCAAACTCTTCAAGGAGAAAACAAAACAGTGGCATGACAAAAAAATTATGGAATGTTACTTTACACTTGGCCAACATATGTTACTATACAAATCTCGCTTGAAATTATTTTCAGGAAAGCTTAAATCTAAGTGGTCGAAGCCATTCACAGTCACTAAAGTATTTCGACATGGCACAAAGAATGGATAGACTTAAGACTCGCATAAACAATCATGCACAGGGCTTTAATGCAATTGAGCAAATGATGAGAGCTTATGTAGAACATATGGGCATGGATATGGACATTTTCCCTGTGTTGCCTGATGATCCTACCATCGCTGTTGGAGTTGATGTTGATGATGATGATGAGGAAGAAGAGGTGTAGACCTTCCTTTTTTGGTGGTTTCATTGAAAAGAGAGTTTTCATTTTTCTTTCTCTTTATTTTAGTTTTATTGTTCTTTTTTTTTAAACATTGAGGATAATGTTTAGTTTAAGTTTGGGGAAATGTCTGTAGGATTTTTTTTATTATGTGCTTTTTTTACTTTTATAGTTTTTCTTTATTTATTCACTTATCTTTATCTTAATAGTTTTTTTTTTTTGGTTTTACATGTTTAGTTAACTTCTATGTTATTATTATAAAAAAATTTTTAGATATTTTGACTCCTTGTTTATGATTTTCCCTATCATAGGATGACATTTTGTTTATCTCATGATTTTAGCTTTTGGAAAGAATAAAAGAATGATTTAAGTTTGTGATAATATTCTAGCGATAGTTTCATTGTAAAATGTGACTTCTAATAATTTGAGCACCATTTTCTTTGACTTAAAATTGTCATGTGATTTGGAAAAAGTTTATATTAATAAAAGTATAGTGAATTAAGGATTTTAAAATTTGTTTGATTCTCTTTTGAAGCAAAATCTTAGATAACACTTACGATAAGAGATGATTGATGTCATCTTTTTTTTTTTATTATGTGTAAGATAAGAATATACCTATATACTGTATGTAGTCAGTATTAGAGCCTAAATTTAATAAGTCTATTTTAATTTCAATTCATATAAGAATATAGTGTTTTGGTTAAAATAGATATTTTTACAAGAGATTCAGCAAAGCATTATCAATAATTGAGGATTCTAGGTTAGCAATTCAACCTATTGGAATAAGTTAAGAGAGAGAGATAAGATTACATGAAGTGTGTGGAATATTGTAATTATAGACTTTTCCAATTTGATTTTTATTCCATTATCTTTTTGCTTTGAATTTTAATTAGTGTTAATAGTTAGTTTGAGTTTGCTTGGTTATGCAAATTTTGATTGTTTGAATAAAACTAAATTATTTTAATTTCAATACTTAGTAAATTTTTAGAACAATTTTTTGAAAGATTGATACTCTGCTTACTAATATCTTCTCTGTTCGATACATATACTTGCGTAAGTAAAATTTAACTAACACCCATCTGACTGAAGAGTCCCCGATGATGACTACTTTCTACCCACCTCCCGTTGATGGCCCATTCTACTTCCCCTGTTCAGCCCTTTATCCTCCGACAGCTCAGGTAAGGTTGTTGGTTGGTGATGTAAACCTTAAACCATTGTTTTTTTCTTTTAAATTTCATCTTAAAATTTGAATTTCATCTTAGATTTTGTTCTTGATTTTGTGCCTAATTTGGTTTATTCATGATGTGTTGAATATTATTCTATGGATACAAGTTTATTGAATATTGAATATTGGTTTTGTTCTGTAGATTGGTTAGAATGAATTAAATATATGTTGCTAAAAAATGTGTTGATTGTTTTAAGTGTTGTTTATTGAATGAATAGCTACATTTGCTATTGTTTCACACTTGCCTAGTTGTATTAATGAATAATGCAAATATTTAATGTATTTTGTGTTTAGTAGTATAACATAAATATTAAATAAGATATTTAATGTAAAGTTGAAGTATTTGGAGAATTTTGTTTAGGTTATGTTCATCATGTCATGTTTGCAATAGGGTTTAGTATGTAATTAATTAAATAAATGAATAATTTCTTAGGATTGTAATAGTTAATTAAATAAGTGAGTAAATTAATTAAAGAAATAATTTATATAGGAATTAGTGTTTAGGGTTTAGTGTTATAAGTAATTAAGTAATTAATTCAATAACTAAGATTAT